AGGCCAGTAAGCAAGTTTTGGAACTTACTTGGCCTCCTTTAATGTTGACTATTCCTTCAGAGGAAGGGAATCTCAGCATCTGGTAGTACATCAATGGCACCGCCTTCATCACATGCAGCCAAGATCGCCCCATAATTGCGTTATATACCGAGACCATATCAACTACCATAAATTCAGTCATGACACCAGCTAGTCCAATCTTCACCGGCAGCGTGATCCTCCCTCTTGGAAGAACTGTTTTTCCACTAAAGCCGATTAATGGAGTATTAGAGGGTTTAAGATCCTCCTGCTTAAGTCTGAGTTTCTCGAAAAGGTCCATGTACATAATTTTGGAAGAACTCCCTAGATCAATCAGAACCCTCCTTACATCGTAATTTGCAATTCAAAGCATTACAACTAATACGTCATTATATGGATGATGAACCCCGACCAAATCCTGCTCGGTGAAGTAGATGGCCTCTGTTGACTCTTCCACCTTGATCCTTTTACTCTTAACTTCTGGGGTTAGTCGCAGCTGATAGACTTCTCTTTCTTTGACAGCTTTTTGAATATATGCCCTATCAATGTTGTTTGTCAACATTTGCGGATTCGTTGCAGCATGGATCACATCTATCACCCCTGCTGTTGTGGTCTAGTCTCCTTTTGGCTCAATCCATGCTCTGTCTGTTCTTGCACTGTCCTCGATGAACTCGGCGAGGTGTCCAGCCTAGACTAGTTCCTCCAAATGTTACTTCAAAGATTGATAATTTTCGGTCATATGACCTACATCCTGATAATATGAGCACCTGAAATTAGGGTTGTTTTTTTTAAGGATCCCCTGTTTGCTTATTGGGCCACTTAAAAAACGGCTTCCCCTTGATTTGAGTCAATATTTTGTATATTGGTTCTTTGAATAGTGTATTTACCCCAATGAAGGGAGACTTATGGGAAAATCCTTCTTTCTCATTCTTCCTTCCTCCCTCTCTACTCGATTCGATTTGCTTATCTCAGCCGAACTGCCTTCTGCTTTGATAATCCTTAACCACATCTTTGGATAAGTCATCTTTGACTTTAGCATACTTGTCAATTCTTGCCATCAGTTCTTCCAGATCGGTGGCTAGTCTCCGGTTGAGTGATTAGTATAGAGGGTTCTTCTTTGGCAATCTGATTTTGAAGGATGCAACTACAATTTCGGGATTATAGCCCTCGACTTCATTCATTGTCTCCTAGTAACGATGAGCGTATTCTAGCAACGTTTCATTATTTCGCTTCTTCAGTGTCAGCAGGCTTCAACATCCTTTGGCTGCTTACTACTCATAATGAACCAAGTTATGAACTGCTCGGCCAATTGTGACCATCCATCTATCGATTCCTTCGGCAAGTTATTGAACCACTTCATAGTTGACTCCCCGAGGCTGCTAGGGAAGATGGTGCAGAGCAAGGGTTCATTCCTCCGATGAATGGTCATCAATTGTCTGTAATATCTGATATGGGAGGTTGGGTCAGTCTTTCCATCATAAAGCTTGAAATTCGAGATGGTGAACTTACTCGAGATTCACCCCTGTTCGATCCACGAAGTGAAGGGAGATGACTCCTAGCCATCTCCGTATTCCCCTGTTGCTCTTCTGGCTAGGTCTCTAGTCGATCTCTACTCTGGCCTCTTTAAATAGTTGTTGAGTTCTTCGGTAATGAACTGCTTCCATGAGTCCTCCTCCTGGACCCGAGGTCTTTTTTGTTGGTACTTATCGTCATCAGCATTTTTGGTTCTGTCATGTTTCTTTTTGGGATTTTCTCGCCGGCTTCCTTTTCATGCTTCTCCTTCCTAGACATCTCCGTCAACCTAGCTTTGAGTTCATTGTTCTCTTTTATGAGATCTCTTTCCCTGGCGTAGAATTTCTTGAATAACTTGTCATGCACATCTAGTCGGTCCTGCAGGGATTGGACCAACTTTGCTAAGGAGTGGTTCTCCCTCTCGGCACGGAGGGATTCACAACGAACTTCAACTTGTTGATTCTTGGTTGGTTTGAAACTTGCTGAGAATACCTCGTCATCCTCATGGGGTCCAAATGGGCTTTTGTTTACATGCAACCTGACGTTGCTATCAGACGAAAGTGACAATGGATCAAAATTCCCAAAGGCAAAATTGCCTATAGGTGATCCGATGGCACTTCTGACTCTTGACATCGTAGCTTTTTGTTTCGATGGAAGAAAATCTTCCCACAAATGGCGCCAAAAATGTAAGAGGCAAAAATTGAAGATACCTCCCACAAGAATGATGAGTCAATATTTGTGATATATGGTGATCTTTGAACTTGATCTCCAAGTCTTCCCTTCCTGCAAAATGAACAAATTTTCCAAGATTAATGTGCTTCGATCGAAGACACTCTGATACTTAAGTCAGTAATGGAACTAAAGCAATTGTCAAAAAATCAAGAGAGTTCAACATACCTTTCACCATGGCTCCTTGTACAGTTTATAGACCCCTGTTCAGTTAGGGTTTCCATGATTTCTACCTCAAGGTGGTAAACCTTCCTTACCAATTAGTCTTTGGTCCAATGGTACTCCTTGTCTGATAAAGGTTTTGTCTTCTTGAGGTCAAGGGTTCAAGTCTTCTTTTCCCCCCCAAAAAAAAAAAGAAAGTGGTACACCTTCCTCCAATTAGGCGGCTCTAGTTGGGAGGTTGATGATATCTCTCTAACAATTTCTCCTGCTAAGCCTATAATTTCGTCGATTCGTTTAGCCAGAATGCCTGAGTTAAAGGCATACCCTTATCTTTTCATTTACTGTTTCAAACAGTTCCGTCACGATAAGAACCGAACTCTCTTATTACTCACCTAACATTTTGAACAACATGGTTTGGTAAGAGCCGAGCTCTTCCATTGCTTGTCGAACACCTTGATTAGTTCAGCTAGGGCTATTGATTGATGTCTTTCTCACGTGTCTTGTCTTGTCATCTTCATGTGAGCTCATTTAATGTTATAACACGTGTAATAAAGGGAGTCATCCCCTTCAATACATATGAAGGTAACAATGGCGAAATAAGAATGTGGCTTTATCAAGACATAATTTTTTTAGGAAAAGTTATAAGATATAATTGGTATGATGCAAGTTGCTGACTTTATCACGACAAAATTTGTATGATTCAAGTTAGTACTAGTGGTTTAGAAAAAAATTATTGAGAGGAAACAAGTGGTGACGACACATCAAATGAGAATAGCAGCTTTATCAGGATATATTTGCATAATCTTAGTTGTCGACCATATTTTTGGAAGGATTTGACTTTGGTATCGATGGAGTTACGTAGCAAAGTTTATAAGTTTAATGGGTTACCATACAAGTTTTTTCAGTCTTAGTTACAAGTAAAAAAATATAGGGCTGATTTTATGATCGATCCAAAAAAATTTATTAACTTTTGATGTCATCTTACAATTTTTATAATTGAAGTTATAGTTTTTGAAGGTCAAGTTAGAACATTTTGAAATTTAGGATTGATTATAATAATTTTAAGGTCTATCAGAAAAAGCCCCCAAAAGTTATAAATAATTCCTGACCAGCCCAAATCTAGACCAGGCATGGGTCAGTCCATGGGTTAAACCCAAATCATAAAAAAGCGGGTCAAGCTTACTTATGGCCTCAATTCAATCCAAAGCTCAAGAATCCAATGAAAGTCAACGCACGTAGAAGAACAATAATCGAGATAGCCATTATTCAAAAATAGTGCATATCTCCAATTTTAGCTATCATCCCCGATAAATTAGTAACTTTACATTTACATCATCGTTACAGCTAGAACTCTGTGCCTATAAATTATAAACCCCCTACATATGAGGGTAGATTACACACCTCGCTTTGAGCGTAGTGCTTTCTCTCCTGCTACCTAGTACTCTCTCATTAATAGAGTTTTTCGGCCACCGTAGTCACCTTCGGTAGTTAGGTCGCCTAAACTCAACCACCTAATTTTTGTCTCTTATTATTTATTATTTCATTAATTACTTTACACCACACACTTGACTAATTTAATTGTCTAATCAATTTTGTCCATCATCAATTCCATTTTCTTCCCCAAAAACATGAGTGACAAAAATAGATGACAAGACACTTTTATGCTAATGTTATTGGCACGTCAAAAATCCTTGTGGTACTGTCAAAATAAAATTGTACTAATTTGGATTGCAAATAATAGAGTAAAAATATATATTTTGATGGCCTCAATATAATGCCCAATCCCCTAATATAGTTGAATTTATTGCATTTTGTCTCAAATTCAAACCTTCATCGTACTTTTCACAAAAATGGTCTAATGTGTAATTTTTGTTTGGTCAATGCCTAATGTGTAATAAAATAAATGTTTTTAGCGTCTATATTAACTAACATTAAACCTGCAATCTTAGTTGAATCATAGTTAAACGTATATCATAGTTGAGGAAATATTACACCATCATCCGAGTTGATGGTCTAGTAAACAACTGGTGGTTTAGAATCCTCCCCGACTCCCGTATTATAATTAAGCAGAATCCAATTTTTTATAGTACTGTGGTTATGGGTTGTCCATCCCACCAACCTAACCACCCATGCTACACCACCAGAGACAGAGTCCAATGGTAAGGGCCCAGCAATTTGGGTACACACAGCCACTTGATACATCTCTCCCATACACAATTCCCAAGCACAAAATTAGAGAGAACGTGCGCTGAAATGCAACCAGGCATTGCAGAAGCATCGCCTGATTGTTTTTCAGAAACAGAATTATAATAATCACAACCACGCAGCCTTAAGACTCGCGGGTAAACCATCACCTGATACCAAGGCCACTAGAGTAGTACCCAAGATCAATGCTATGATGCCAGTAACCAGTTAAGATGATGAGCCCATTCAAGTAATCTTATTTACAGGCAACTCCCTCTTATTGTTGGAAGAGCGTCTTAGAGAGACCTAAATAAAAGTGTCCTATGAGATCTAATAAACACTGGCTTAAAAAAGGTCCATCAGAATCACTCATAGGACTCTTAATTTTGCACACACACACACACACACTACGAAAAATATAGGAATTACAAGCAGCTCTCAACAATCCGGGTATATGAATTGCTCAAATTCACATTATTATCTCCAACTGCATCTGATAGACTACTGAAGCAATAAATAATTGAAAAGTGTTCTCTATGAAATTACATTCAATAAAAGTGTCCAAAAACTAGTTCTTTTTGCCACACGACGCAGTCCAATGAAATCATAACAATAAGGATATGTGTTGCCTGGGGATAAATCATAAATAAGATTGGTCATCAGCCCCAATAATAGCTGCAAAGTCCCACCTTGACTCGGTAAGTCCACTTCTAACTCAGCAATTCCAAGGAATCCAATTTTGTCTGGACATCGCATGGAGGAAGCACCTCAGAGCAGAGGGAAACCCCCACCTGAATACTCGACCTCCTGTTAATGAAAGTCTTGAATGTTAAAAGAGATGCCATCAAGATATATTGTACAATAAAGCAAATATCTTCTCGAAAAGGATCAACAAAACCCTGTGATATGGAATTTCTCAAGTCACGAACAAAAATTTATGGAGACAAATGATTATAACCTAATAAAAAAGACAAAATCTGAGAGATCGTTGGTGTAAGCGCTATATAAATGGGTTGTTTTCCTCATATAACCTACATGATATAATAAATTTTCTAATAGCACATCAGATTCAAGCCATATTTGTGACAAGAAAGGTCATTTAAGGGATAACCATCATGGATGTGATCGTGATTCTTCCAAAAAATAAGATGACTTTGAGCACTGTGAAAGTCATCATTGGAGAAACTCACAGGTATTCAACAATCCCATAGCAATCCACTTCATATTCTCTAGTCCCACCGAATTCTATCCCTGCTCTTTCTCCAATTGTTGATGGCTTCTTCAGAGAAATATATCCCTCCAAACAATACACAAGATAGAGAAGTGTTCAGAGCCATCAGTCATGCCTCAGGCTTCAAGGCTAGAATGAAAATGCATTATAGCCCATAGCTAATATGACTCGCGCTGGGCACAAGACATTGAGAAACGCAGAGAGAATAAGATCTACTTGTTATTGCGCTACAATCGACAACCTTTGGTTATCTTCTTGAAGCAATCACATGGTGTAAGAATCAGTGAAAATCATAAATCTAAGATCATCATTTCAACCTATCTGCGAAAAGAAGCTCGTAAAACAATGTGAAAAGAACCTTGTAAACCTATCTGCAAAATCTTCTCACGATCTTGCAAGAACTTCAGCACTTCCATGCAGTAATATCTATGCCAGAGACACTAGTGCAAACAACTTTTTCTTTTTCAAATTTCAATAATGGCAAAAGGCATAAATTTTAAGAATCGAATACTTCATGAGCAAGGCCACATTGAGTTACAGAAATACTGCTTTAAATTAAATTATTTCTAAAATCTTCTGTTTAACATTCCAGCTATGAAAACTAGAGACGTCTCATGCTTCTTACAGAGAAACTTGAAAGCCACATGACAATATTCTGGAAAACTGCTACCCCATGAAACCTTGAACTACCTTCAGAGAAAGTCGGCTTCTAAAGTGTAACCATGACATCTAATAGGCTGAGGACAGGCATAGGACCTGACTGATTCATTGAAAATTATACACCAGCTACGTTTGAGCATCCAGCTGTAGTTATTCCAGTGTTGATTGATGCAATAAGATCAAATCATTACCAGTCACCAGTTGACATTGAGACCTTGTGGCTATGTTTAAAACCATCAAATTCGCAACATGATAACACCTCAGATAAGCAAGAGAGAATTGGGGTACTCGACTAACTTCAATCTCATGTATGTCAGGATAGTACAGGAGAAAATTAAAGCAAAGTAGCAAAGCTTATAATTGTGGTGCACTATAAAATTGAGGAAATTACTTTCACTAGTTCATATTGAGCTCTCATCACTCAAACCGTTCATGAAACTCACATGGGAAAAAGTGAGATTTGGGAAACTTAGGCCACAAGTTTTGAATGTTCCTCCTAAATTCAAAGCTTATAAGTGCATCATTCCCAAGTAATCTGCTAACTCTAATCATGTTATTGTTTCTCCCTTAGCAAACGAACTTCTAGACCAATGAATGTAAAACACTGCATGCTAGTCGAAGACAAGAATTGTACCTGAGCAGGGGGCAAGGATGAAACCCAGTCTGATGCATGGGTGGGAAGAAGACCCAATGCGTTAAGCTGTTAACACCAATTAATTTGATATAAGAAAGAAGAACATTAGAGATACGTAGATTTACAATGCACTTATGTAGAACGTTGAAAAAGAAATTTCACCTTCCAGACACCCAGTCCTAGACCCACCAAATTAAGAGCAATATATACTAATTTGGGCCCAAGGAGGTCCACTTTGTTGTCCTTGTAAGGTTCAAAAACTGCAACACGAAATTGACAGTTAGCAAGGTTGAATTTGAAGAATAATCATGAAATATGCATGCCAATTAAGAGGTAAAAATATACAGATATTCAAACCATGTGAATGCTTCAATAACCNACTTTTTTTTCAGGGTTCAATCCGGCCTGCACTGTTAAAAATATGATAAACTTTTGGAGGTCTAGCTGGCCGAAAAGCTTTGTGCAAGACCATCGGGCAAGAAAAAAGAATTTAATTTTGTTTGATTTAACTATTTATTTAGTCTTATTAATTAAGTTTTTGAACTATATTTTTTATTAATTTAGTCTTTTAATCATACCATTTATGTTAATATGATCATTTTTTGTCAAATTTAACAAAATTTTTCACATGTACTAACCTCTAAATTATACCCTACACATCGACCTAAATGATATAATTGAAGGGTTAAATTAACACAAAGTATAATTCAAAAACTTGATTGATATAAATGGTATATAGTTGAGGTAAAAAATTTAAAAAAAGTTTATTGCAATTATTACGTTTCGAATTGTTTCGGTATACTTGAATTTTTTTTATTTTTTTAACATNAAATAACCATAAAAAATAAAAAAATAAAACAGAAACCTGCCTATGATATTATGTCTGTAAAATTGAGAAATACCTGAGCTTTCCAATTGGCTTCAGCGTCTTTCTTTTGGCGACTCAATGTTGAATCATCCTATCAAACATATACCAATCAAACCCAGAAATTCCAATATATGCGCGCATATATATATATTCAAACATGTATGTATGTATAAATAGGTATAAAGTACCTGATCCTGAGAAGCACGAGTGAAGCCTGGGGGATCGAGAATGTCGCGGGAGGAAGGAGCGGTTGAATTGTCGGAGAAATCCACGGCCCATCTACGACCCACACCCATCACTGCTTTGCCTTTGTCCATTACTACACTGTAGCTCACGAATCAGAGAGGGACTTTTTTTTCAGGGTTCAATCCGGCCTGCACTGTTAAAAATATAATAAACTTTTGGAGGTCTAGCTGGCCGAAAAGCTTTGTGCAAGACCATCGGGCAAGAAAAAAGAATTTAATTTTGTTTGATTTAACTATTTATTTAGTCTTATTAATTAAGTTTTTGAACTATATTTTTTATTAATTTAGTCTTTTAATCATACCATTTATGTTAATATGATCATTTTTTGTCAAATTTAACAAAATTTTTCACATGTACTAACCTCTAAATTATACCCTACACATCGACCCAAATGATATAATTGAAGGGTTAAATTAACACAAAGTATAATTCAAAAACTTGATTGATATAAATGGTATATAGTGGAGGTAAAAAATTTAAAAAAAGTTTATTGCAATTATTACGTTTCGAATTGTTTCAGTATACTTGAATTCTTTTTATTTTTTTAACAAAGTCTGGTTCTATTTTATAGTTTTTGGAAACAGGAACTTTATTCGGGATATATTTCATTATATCTAATTAATATTATAAAAAAAATAATGCGTTATGAATGATTTATTTAATAATCACTTCAAATTATTAAAAAAAATGAGGTGTAACAGAGTGATATCAAAGTCTAAAAATTAGATCTTACATGAAAAAGTTGTATAAAAAAGGCTAGCCAAAATAACAATCTATGACAATTTAAATAATATAATATCACTAAGAATGTTTCATATTAATACCATTATTTATAATTTATTTGAATATTAAATATTCATAGAACTAATTATTTACCTACATGGTTCGCAGTAATGTAGGACCACGGACAACTGAGGAAATAAAAATAAACATTACAATGACCAACAACTTGGGAATGATGACTTTCGATTTTTCACTTTTTTTTTTTTTTTGGGGATCATACCAAACAAAATATCCACACCCACTAGAGTCCTACAAAACATTAACAAGGTGGACAAATTAATATTTGCCAAAAACAAATAGAAAACAAGACTAAAAAAAATATCTATGTACCCCATATTTTTCACAACTAATCCAGTATACACTGAACAAATCCAAGACAATGACTTGGCCAACCGTGTCAAAATCCATTTCTAGTGTATATCCTTTTGCAATGTTGATCAAACTACAAACTACTATCCAACCCTCCACGGCGGTTGTGCAGACTATACCGAAAGAAAGGCCCATTGACATTCAGGCCTACCAAACAAGGCTCATGAAACATGCTGTTTACACAGAAAATATTCGAACTACAAAATGACAGTGGGTTACGTGGAACAGACTAGTTTTCTGCAGCAATCAGCAAAACTGCAAGGGACGATTCTAATAGCAATAAAATCTTCAAAAGACTGCTTATATCGCAAATAAACTAGTGAAAGCAATTGTTCAAACGCACATAAGCAATTGTTCAAACGCAAATGTAGTCTAATTTTTCCATTCAAACAGCATGGAAAACTGAATCCAAAATGTCACGCTAGACTTATTCCATATTCACAGAAGCCTGATATAGTACATCAAAAAGCATCTATATTGATTTCAAGTACGTGTAAGATGTTGATAACACAGCAGAGTGGAGACCAACACTAGTCTCAAATGTTTTCGAAGGTCACACATATGCAGTCACAATACACATTTCTGCTTCGCAGAAAGACGTTTAGCCCCTATTCACATCCTCTAAAGACGTACTTGTCAGAAAGGTTGGCTATAATAAATCCTGCAAAAACCTGAATTAAATTGGATTGGTTAGAGAAGGTTTTTGGTAAACTAATCAAAACATGGAGATTACAATAATAAAAAATGGTTTAGACTAATATATGCGAAAATGTACCTGAATGCATCCAATGATATAGATTGCAGAGTAGTGACGGCCGTGGACTATCATGTCGGCTAGCATAGCAAGAGGTATTGTCAAGGACATGCCTAGTGTTGCAACTAATGGGGTTGTCCAAACCACAGAAAGGGCCCTGGTTCATATGAGTGGTTAGTTTTTATTTATTGGTACTGGAAAAAAGTAATGGCAGCAGCAGAACTTTGCAGTTCCTAAATAAAAATTAACTAATACAATTCAAAAATTGGGGTCATTCTATTTTTCTTTTAAAATAAAGTATATCTGGCACTTCAAGAAAAAAAAATCCTAATTTATAAGAAAGGTAATATTCACAACATTCATCCTCCATCTACAGAAAAAACTTGGAAAAATAGATTTTAGCCCTTTTTATCTTCTTTTTTTATTGTGGGGATTTTTCCAGGGAGAGGGAGGTTATTTTTTTTTCATGATGACTGCATTTTATGGGATGGATCTTATGGTCAGATGCTGTGAGAAACCAAATGTTAAAATGACATCCCTTGTGGTGGCCAAAGAGCACATAAGTATAAGCATGCAACTCCATATACCAAAAATAATCTGATAGAACACTCCCAAGGAAGCCATTTAGCAGCACGACTTCTCCGATGGATGACGAACGTGGAAATATGAATTGAGGTTCTATCCCCAGAGCATTTAGAGGCCATACTGCATCAACAATGAAACAATGTAAATCATGGGTGAGGAACTTTGTAAGCTTCAAAACAACAACGAGTTTTTTTTCGGAAAGGAAAACGACAACGGTTCAAAGGAAAAAAATCATACGTCATGTTATCGTTGACCCACCAAGTTTGAAATAAAGACAAGTCACAGGTTGCACAGTTGTTAGAGAATAGCATAATCGTCGATTGGTAATCTCATCGAACGAACATATATGTTGTATGGATTTTCTTTTTTAAAATATAAATGTTTTTGCCATTTTTGAGTTGACCATGTTCGTTCATATGATTACAAAAATGACCGTATATTGTAGTAAATTATGACACTAACAATTTTTATTTGCCTATATTCTAAATTTTTTTCTATCCTCTAATATGTCCAAAACTTTCAAGTGTGCAAAAACATGTTCGTAACATGATCATAGTCATGTAAGAGTGTATATACAAAAATACAAGGGTGGGCACAATATAAATTTGTGCAATGTTTAATACATTAACATATATGGTATAATATACCATATAAAAGAAATTGGAAAGTTGAGGATGGAAGGTAGCTCCGCCAGTGGAAGTTGAGTTATTCCACTTTCACAACATTAAAATGAGGCCATCTGTTTGATCCATAGAATTTGCATTTACAATTTCAAAATTACGAAGGTATAGGAGGCTTAATGGAACTGTATTGGGGAGAGAAGGGAATCAATAGAAAAGAGAGGAGGTGATCTTCCCCGTTAAAAGAAACTGAAGAAGAACAAGAAGATGAATATAGAGGACAATGGAGCAATAACTCCCACTTAGATCTTCAAAAGTCCTTCCACTAACTATCTGAAACTGCCACCAAAACTTGGTGCTCTATATGCGGGCTGTTAATCTTTCAAAGCTGATCTTCAGAAGGAAATAAAAAATTGAGCCCTTGAACTCTGCTCAAGTTTCATAAAGTAGTTTTCACATACTTTTGACACTGAAGCCTAACTTATATACACACGCACACACACACTTTAAGGAAGTTTGTCCTCGAGTTATCAAAATTTCAAAGGAAAAATCATTAAGATTATTGGTCCTCTTACCAAGCCACCAAAGGCCAAGGAGAGTAAACAATCCAATATATCCGAAGAATTTTTGCACATCAACCTTGTCTCCTTCAGATCCAGCAGATTTCTTTAGCAGCACTGCGGTCACAGTTCTAGAACATTATTCACTTAATTTTGATCAACGAACTTTCTAATTTCAAATGTTATATTAAATTATTCCATTTCATGCATAATCATTTTACCAGTAAATAAGCCATATGATACCGCTGAGAGAAGGCCAAAAATGTCCCCGGTGATGGAATGTCTTTTACTCCTTGGCAACATAAATAGAATTTAGTTCAACACACATTTCTAGATAAAAATACAGTGAAACTGCAGGTGAAAGTAAAGGCCATCTAAATTGTCAATACTGATAAAGTGAAACACAAGTTAATCCAGACAATTTTTGGTTAATCTCAGATGAAACAAAAAACCGTCATGATTATTAAAATGGATAGTAGCATCTTATGATCGTACGATCTGATATAAGCAATCCAAGTTGCGATTTTACCGATCTAAGTTGTTGGGCTTGTTTGTTTGGCACATTTAGTTTTTGAGTTGACCCAATTCATATTTATTGTCTTAATATTTATAGACTCAATTCAAATAAGTTAGTCTCATATAATTTTAGTCTATTGGAGAATTTCGACACATCAAAAAATTCTCAAAAAATACTTTTCGTTATAGAAAGCTCACGAGTGATTATAGTCGGATAGTCTTCCACTTTCTTCTTTTTGTCTTTTTTTTTCCGGTTTGGATGTCGAACATCCAAATTATTCACCTCGACAAGATTAACACCCCGACTTTGAATTTTCAATCCTCTTCAATGTTCCAGTTGTAATTCATGAAATTTAATCATGTCTATAAGTTTTATGTTTTCCATAACATTTCCATTTGCAATATATATATTGAGCTAGTTTAATTCTTGTTTTAAGAATTCCGCATGACATTTTTTATTTTTTTTTATATTTCGCATTATTACATATATTTATTGTCTCATTTTTTTAGTTCATAGAATGTTACGATTCTCAATCCAATTCTACGAACATGATCTTTTACCTTATCCCATCGATCCAAGGTAGGATCCCAATTTTAAAACCTTGCACACCATCTATTATTAGCCTAACTAAAGTTTGCTTTTTCAAGATAAGCCTTTCTCTTACAAAAAGAAGAGTCTTTGCTCGATGTAAGATTGTATTAGCATTAGATATAATACTCGACCCAAATTATTATTACAGACACAAAACAGAATATTAAGACCACTAGGCTGTCTGTTATTTTATGCCATATTGCACTCTAGCGCATTCAAAAGATAATTTATCTTATGCCATCTTTGACTGCATATAAGTCTACTACACCACATCACATTCCAGGGTGACATACAACCTGGTAAAATTATTGACATTGAACTCTATGTTATAGGCTTCTTTAACTAAATAAATACGACACATGAGGGTGCTTTTCCTTCTCATCTTTCCAGAAATTCTTTATTTAACAAATACTTGGTAAATTGCAAATTATCCATGGTATCACTCTTGGGATTTTGGGAGACTGTGAGCTCAAGTCGGGCAGCCATTTTGTGTAAATAATGCCAAAAGTTAGGTCTATACCTAGTCCATCTCTCTCAACACCCTAACTGTGACAAAACTGTAATGGTCCTTCTTTAGTGGGATGCATCAACTCTCACACTGCTCTTTAACTAAAGCTGAGACCTGTAAAAGCATCTTGGACCCAGACATCAAAGCAAGTACACATATTTTTCAGGGCATCAAAGAAAGGGTAGGTGTGAAATCTATGATATACATGGGTCTTGGAAATGCACATAGCCAAGTAAAAGCTTCCTACAGTGCTGGAAGTAACTGCTTGGACTTACTCAGAAGCGCTCAGCATTTCATCAGCGGCCCAAGTTTTTCCATTCGTAGTCATTGCAACACCAGTCATACTGATACAGACAGCAACCACTTTTCCAACAGTTACAGAGTCCTGTCCCAAGAGTGCTCCAAAGAAAAGCGTGAAGAGTCCAGATGTAGCAGTCAAGACAGTCGTGCTCGCAACACTGGTATTTGCTAATGCAGAGTTTGATAGATACTACAAGAAACCAAAGCAATTAATCCAGTTACATGGAAACATAGGAGACCATTATGACTAGTTGTCTACTTTGGAAACCCAAAGATCTTCCACTAAACCTATTCAGTATTTTCATTCTTGACAACCATGGCATTCATTGAAAAAAGGATAGTCTTTCAGCACAATGCATCAGAGCAGTGTAAGGGTGTCGGATAACAATCTCATGCAATATTCTTATTTATATGGTTTAGGCTTTTAACTTATTGAATAATGCTCCAATACATTTTGCAACAGCCAGAGAATGAAGATAAATCAGGAAGTTGTACTTTGCTCATGAAACAAGCTCACAAAAGAGGTGAGACCGGCGTCGATGTTGTCGCCTCCGCACCTAACACATACGTCGGCACAAGACACATGAGTATTCTATCATGCATACAAAAACATTAATGAGTAATCATGCTTGAAACAACACATTCCCAATCCCCCATCTAATTAATAACGTGTAAATAAACCCTTAAAATTAGTTATGTATGTAAATAAAATCAATTAGGATTGATTTGAACCCATTAGCATGCTTCAGAAAGGTTTGAAATTGAGCGGATGACAAACCCCAAGCAACACGGCAAAAATAGAGAAAACACATGTTTTACTGGTACAAGTTGTGCCGGTTCATCAGTAGCAACCAACACTTGTACCGGTACAACTTTCTTTGTACCAGGTCATCGCAAAACAGAAGGCCTTGTACCCATACAACCTCTTTGTACCGTTTCATCTTTTAACAAAACCCTTTGTAATGGTTCTTTTGATGTTTTACCGGTTCATTCTTGGCTAAAAGGCCCTTGTATCGGTACAACACCACTTTGTACCAGGTCTTTATTGGTTTTTCCCACGTTTTGGCTTTGGTTTTGGTTTTGGTTCCGGTTCTTCTTTCAACCACACCTCTCACATCCCACAACTCTCAAATACATATACAATCAATTATACCATTGAATTGCATGCAAATTCTTAACTAATATCAAACCCAATAACTCATCTTCATAAACCAAAATCAAAACTACAACTAATTAGTAAAAACAATAGACTTACCTATAAAAGTACCCTTCGATTCAAACCCACTGGAAATCCAAAATGCATACCCCAACTAAGATCCGCAGTAATTCAGTGTTATGAAAAGCGCGCCTAGGCGAGAAGCAAGACGAGGCGAGACTAGCTCGCCTGGAGGACCCCAGGCGAAGTGAACGTGAGCGAGGCGAGAAAAAAGAGAGAAAAAGCGAAAAAGCGTTCGCTTTTGTTATAAGAGGCGAGATATTTTATTTTTAATTTAGACCGTTGGATTGGGCGATTGCAAAAAAAATTTTAAGATGTTGATGTACCGAATTATTCCGTTATCTNGAGGACCCCAGGCGAAGTGAACGTGAGCGAGGCGAGAAAAAAGAGAGAAAAAGCGAAAAAGCGTTCGCTTTTGTTATAAGAGGCGAGATATTTTATTTTTAATTTAGACCGTTGGATTGGGCGATTGCAAAAAAAATTTTAAGATGTTGATGTACCGAATTATTCCCTTATCCTATAAATACAACTCCTAACCTAATTTTATCTTATTTTTTCTCAGATAGCTTCGATCGGTGCTGCTCTCTCCACTGCTACNCAAAAATGACCGTATATTGTAGTAAATTATGACACTAACAATTTTTATTTGCCTATATTCTAAATTTTTTTCTATCCTCTAATATGTCCAAAACTTTCAAGTGTGCAAAAACATGTTCGTAACATGATCATAGTCATGTAAGAGTGTATATACAAAAATACAAGGGTGGGCACAATATAAATTTGTGCAATGTTTAATACATTAACATATATGGTATAATATACCATATAAAAGAAATTGGAAAGTTGAGGATGGAAGGTAGCTCCGCCAGTGGAAGTTGAGTTATTCCACTTTCACAACATTAAAATGAGGCCATCTGTTTGATCCATAGAATTTGCATTTANAGCTTCGAGTTTTTCGCTGCTTCTACACCATCGTTGCTGCTGGACAGAGATATCGTTGGGTTTGGAGGGCTGGTCTGGACTGTGGAGGTTAGTCTCTTCTTCTTCTCTCTTCTATTTTTTTTTTCTTCTGTCTTCTGCTCCTTCACCAANCTCATGTTAGGGAGGAGATTAGAGAATACATGGCTAAAAAAAAGGAAGAGAAGAATCTAATGATCATAGTTCCCGACTTTGATGAGATGTNCATGTTAGGGAGGAGATTAGAGAATACATGGCTAAAAAAAAGGAAGAGAAGAATCTAATGAACATGGTTTCCGACTTTGATGAGATGCCTAATGACTTGGAGGAGGATGAAGATGATATTGTAGAGATTGTTGCGAATCGTAAAAGATCCATGACTAGTTCTAGTCAAGGTTCTACACAAGCCACATCGAGACCAAAAAAGCCAAGACAAAAAGGGCCTATGGATGTATACTTTACCCCTGATCTGAATGTTGTGGTGCAAAATCGAAAGACCAAGGGGAGACAAACGAATATTGATGCCAACGATCCTTTTAGAAAGGAAATGAGAGAAAGAGCCATCACAACATTTGCCCGATGGATGTATGACACGGGAATTCCCTTTAATATTGTGAACTATGAAAGTTTTGCAGCAATGGTTGAAGCTTTTAGACAATATGGTCCTGGTTTGAAACCCCCTTCTTACCATGAGGCTCGGGTCCCATTGCTCAACAAAGAAGTGGGGCATATAAAGTCATTGATGAAAGATCACCAAGAGGATTGGGCAAAATATAGATGTTCCATAATGGCCGATGGATGGACTGACAAGAGAGGGAGAACCTTGATTAATTTCTTAGTGAATTATCCAAAAGGGACCATGTTCTTTGAATCTGTTGATGCTTCTGCATACTCAAAGGATG